TCAGTTAGTACTTTTATTCTCATACTTCTTGCCTTCTCCATGCAGGATCTTCTGTTGTGATTTGTTTAAGAAAAATGGTCAGTAGTTGGGTACCATCTAGTTCTTCTTATCTCAAGGTTGTGAAAGTTGATATATCTGTGGTTTACTAGTCATTTGATGACAGTGTATAGATAGGGATTGCTATATATTTGTAAATTGCTTTTGGTAGTATTACCATTTTTTCAATGTTAAATCTTCCAGTCTGTGAGATTGGTGTATTTTTTTCCCTATTTCTGTAGATTTCTTGTAGTGCTTTGTAGTTTTCTTTGTAAAGGTCTTTTATTTCTCTAGTTGGAATTATTCTTAAATATTCCATATTTTCAGTGGCTATTATAAATGGTGATGTTCTGTTTTTGTGGAGTTTGTTGTTGCTGCTGTTGTTTCAGAGTTCTCTCCATTCCTGTACAGAAATCTAATTGATTTTGTGTATTAATCTTGGACCCTGCTACTTTGTTGAATTACACAGTTAGATCCAGTAATTTTCGTAATGAATTTTTCTTTATATAGTATCATATCATCTGAAGATAGAGTTTTGTTTCCTCTTTGCCAATATGGGTGCTTTTTCTTTTTCTTTCCATACCGATCTGTCTAGGACTTACAATATACAATTGAATGGAGGGGAGCTCTGGTGGCCTAGTGGCAAGAAGCTGCACTACAATCCCAGAGGCTCATGGTTCGAATCCACCAGATGCTGTGCTGGAGAAGGAGGGACAATCTCCTCCTGTACCAGTCAGATCTGATTTGACGGTACACACAAATAATAAAAAAAATGAATGGAATAACAGGGGTAGTAACGGACAACCTAGTTTTGTTCCCATTGGCAAGAGAAATGCTTTCGCTCAGTGTCTCTCCAATGACATTAATTTGGCTATTGATTTTATACACTCACACACACACACACACACATACACACATATCCTTTATGTATATGTGTGTGTGTATATATATATGCATTTCCTTTATATATATATGCATTTCATTCTATTGAGAGATTTTATTCCTATTTTGTTGAGCATTTTTATCAGGAAGGGGTGTAGAATTTTGTCAGAGGGCTTTTTCTGCTTCAATTGAGATGATCATGTCATTCTTTTTCTTTGTTTTATTGACATGGTGGATTGCATTGATTGCTTTTTTAATGTTGAACCATCTGGGATAACTTGTATGAATTCTATTTGATCATGATGAATGATTTTTTTTAAATGATATTGGATTCTGTTAGCTAAGATTTTGTAGAGAATTTTGCATGAGGGATATTTGGTCTGTATTTTTCTTTGCCTGGCTTTGATATCAGGGTTCTATTTGTATCATAAGATGAATTTGGGAGCATTCCATCTTTTTCTGTATTCTGAAATAATTTGAATAGGATTAATGTTAGCTCATCTCTGAATATTTGGTAGAATTTACTAATAAAGCTGTCTGGGTCTAGCCTTATTTTGCTTGTGTTTTCATTATTTCAGTTCAATTTCTTCTTTTGTGAGGTGTCTTAATTTTTTTTCTCCCTAAAATTGGCACCATTTTAACACAGTGGTTAAGTTACCATAATTATTCTAAGACCTAACAACTTCATAAGGAGTCCTGTGCAGTGGTTCTCACACTCAGCTGTTAACCGGCAGGTAGACATTCAAACCTACCAACTGCTACTGCTCTACAGGAGAAAGATGGGACAATCCATCAAGATTTATAAGCTTTGCAACTGAGGCAGTTCTCTTCCTCAGATATGGTGATTATCAACTGAGGCAGTTCTCTTCCTCAGATATGGTGATTATCATGTAGAAGGTATTTGTTTATATGGAGAAACACTAGCAGGTGTTAGATTTTGAAGACTGAACAGGAGACCATAAGAAATGGTAACACAAATGTAAAGACCTTTACTCCCTGTTTTAGGCTGGCTTTTCTAGAGAAGCAAAACCAACAAGGGGGTACTGTTGACAGGTACAACTGATAGTGAAGCTATGAATAGCAAATATGAACCCTGTCCTGTCCTGCACCATCCTCATAATTTCTGACATACTGAGCCCATTGCTGTGATCACTGTGTCAATCCATCTCATTGAAGGTCTTATTCTCTTTCACTGACCCTCCTCCACCTTCCCAAACATGAGGTCCCTTTCCAGTGAATGGATATATAGATAATGTGTGTGTGTGTGTGTGTGTGTGTGTGTGTGTGTGTGTGCGCGCGCGCGCGCATGCGCATGTGTACCTGCAAGAGAGAGAGACAGAGAGATTGAGAGAGGTTTATCTGAAGGAAATTACTCCTTTGCTTGCAGATGCTGGTGGCAGGGCATGCCATTGGTCTGAGAAAGCAAGGTGATGAGGAAACAGATGAAAAATTGAGATCTAACTTACTTACTGCAGGCCACACCCTTTATAAAACTATCCCTCAATCAGTTGGCCACTTATAGCAAATCCCATCAAAGAAATGATTACATGACATTAAACATTGAGGGTATATTGTCCATATCAACTGCCCAACCAGAAAATTAGTCAAATTGACACAATTTTTACCTTCACACTTCCTTTTCAAATAAATTAATGTCTGTATATGCTTTACTGACTGTGCAAAGGCATTTGACTCTGTGAATCATAACAAATTATGGCTAACAGTAAGAAGAATGGGAGTCCCAGAATACTTAATTAGTTGTGTTTATATGAAACACATACCTTGATTAAGAGGCTTTTGTCAGAATTGAGTAAGGGAAGCTGGATTCTGTGAAAGATTGTGGCATCAGGATCTAAGGAAGATAACTACAACCTTGCTAACTAAAAGGAAGGAGGGAAGATCTAAAACAAAAAAATTCTCACTACTTGACTGATAGGAAATCACTTGCTGTGCACCTGAGAGCTGGACTATGAATGAAAACGACAGAAGAATTGATGCCTTTGAGTTGTGGTGTTGGAGAAGAGTGAAGTAATAGAGGAAAAGTATAAATTGTGTATGAATAGCATTTTTGTAAAAAAAAAAAGTTTGGCAATAAATTCTTCAATATGATACTCAACTCATTGCCATCAAGTCATATCTAACTCATGACTGAGGCTTCATTTGGTTTCTGAGTCTGTAAATCACCCAGGAAAAGATCTGACAGGTGCATTTAAACTGCCAGTGAGAGGAGGAGGGAAGAAAACATGCAACAGTGACTGAACAAAAATGTAAAATGAACATCCAGAAAGACTTGGCTTTTGGGTTAGCTGCAAAACTCCCTCTATAACATGCCAATCTCTCTCCATTTCCCCTTAAAATTCTGCTATATTAATAAATATCTTGTAATTAATATTATACAATATGACACAAGTTGTGTGTTACTGTTTTTTAAACCTTAACTTGTGCTTTGTTTGAATTTCAGGTAAATACCCTTTCCAGTTCTTTTGTATTTTTTTTTTAGTATGCCACTTAAACGAAGTGAATATTTTGTGGTGGCTTGAAGGCCTTGGAGATTTAACAAGTAAAAGTATAAACAGCCATTCTTATTTAGTTATGAGTTTTACATCCACTTTTATTCCAAGTAGGAAACTTTGAAAGATTTACTATGGAATATGGCTTACATAAAAGGTATCTTACTTAACAGATGACTTAATGAAAACCGATTAGCCAGCTCCACTAATGGAACTGTAACATAAAATTCCATCAGATAGTTCCTCCTAAAGGTAGGGTTGGGGTTTTTTGGGGTTTAATAATTTGATAGACCTTTTTTATAAACTTTATTAATGTGAATATTTCTGCTTTTGAAAAAATATTAGTTTTTTTTTTTTTAGAGAAAATAGAAAGCATCTTTGAGATTTGTTTTGGTAGGGTTTTTTGGTTTTGTTTTTGTTTTTCTTGTTGTATACCATCAAATCGGACCTGATTGGCACAGGAAGAGATTGTCCCTCCTCCAGCAGAGCATCTGGTGGATTTGAACCATGCGCCTGCAGGATTGCAGTGCATCTTCTTGCCACTAGGCCACCAGAACTCGCTGAGATTTGTTTTTATTGTGATGAAATTTCACTTAAAAATAACAATTTTATAGTTAAAAAAACAGTGGCATTTAATACTTTTATCCTGTTGTGTAACTACCATTTTTTTGCCTAGTTCCAGAATATATGCATAACTCCCAGAGGAAAACCTGTGCCAGTTAAGCAGATGCTCCTATTTTAATTTTTCTATTATGAAAGAAAGTATATATACTCACAGATAACTCACTTTTAACTAAATTGGTTTTATTTTTATATAAAAATATTATGTATATTGAGGTTGCATTTGTATTAATATTCTTGATTAAAGGCATCTTTATTTTTATTAAGTTTTGAAATTATTGAAATATCTATAAAACTTTGATTTATGTACCATTCCTAATCAGATATTTATAAATATAGAAATATAGGGTGAGTGCTCTGTTTGGATCAGAGAAATTTCTTGTTTTAGGTGGTAATTATCTACCTTTCTTTTCTTGTTCCTGAAATTATCTAAAAGAAATAAAGATAAATTAAATCAGTACGGTGTAATTAACAAAAGACCTAAATTTATGTCTCTTCCTTGGTATTTATTTATTGTGTGACCTTAAGAAAGTTAGCTTATTTTTCAACCTGTTTGCTCATTAGAAAAAAATGGGGCCATATCTACAGCATTTGGAAAAAAGCACCATGCACAGTTGCATGTGTCAAGTGCTTAGTGATGTTAATTTTCTTTCCTGTATTTATATTCATGTATTGGTAGTTGAAGACTAAGTTAATAAAGAATTTTTGAAGCAGCCACTTTAACATGACTGTTTAAACATTTAGTTTAGGATTAGTCTTCCATTTACTTTAATACATACAGTATACTCTCTTCTCTCCAGTGCCCCTATAAGTATTTGATAAAGGATGAAATGATATTACCATTATAAATAATTCATGAAATCTAATATAATGTTGTATCTTGAGGACTTATTTTTTAAATTTATACTTAATATTTCTATAAAAAAGTTTTCATTTTCTCTTCAATCACAGGTACAGGAACCTTAAAGATAGATTTTGTTGGTGAGCTGAATGACAAAATGAAAGGTTTCTATAGAAGTAAATATACTACCCCTTCTGGCGAGGTGCGCTATGCTGCTGTCACACAATTTGAGGTAGGTATGGGCTGTTTATCTGTAAAATGTTACCATTCTTCAGTTAGGCATTATGAAAAAGGTTGCCCTTTGTGTGAGTGAATTTGGGGTGATTCTTTGAGGCTAGGTACATTTATTTCTATAATTTTCAGTGTATATAACAAGTTAATATGGAAACAACTGATGGCTTTTATTTCTGCACCTATGGCCTAAACTTTTTAGATGGAATTTTCTACTTGATGTATCTTTCTTTCAAGGTGTTGTAGTCTATTTACGTTCTGTTTTTTTTTTAATTTTTCTTTTTCTCTAGGTGAAATTTGTAGAGCAAATTAGTTTCCTACTTGACAGTGTGTGCATAAAGTGCTTTATAATCCTGATTGCATTCCCTGTGATGTTTCAGTGCTCCCTGTTTGCAACCAACATTTCCTAGTTTCCATTTTTGGGTGTTCGTTCTTAGCCTTCCTACCTTCTCAATCTTTACTTCCCCCCGCCCCCTTTTTAAATAATCTTCTTTTGGATAAATTATGTCCCTTCTATCTTGTATAATTGATTGTTCTAAGAAACATGTTCCTCTCAGGCATTTCTGTTTACTTTATAGGCATCTAAAGTTTGAACAGTAACTTCAGTAATAGGCTCGAGTTATGTGGAAGGTGGTCAGGATGGCACATGATAGGACAGAGTTCACGTTCATAGAGTCACTATGTACTTGACCTGACACTTAACAATAACAGTGTTTCACTGAAAATTGTGTTTTTCTGGGAGCGGCTTCAGGTTGAGGCCATAGAGTATTTTAGAGCCTTCTCAGGAGTGTTGTCTGTTATTGAACATTGTTATTGTTAGGTTCTACTGAGTTAGTTCTGACTCATTAAGACTCTTTGTGTAGCAAAACAAAGCATTGTCTAGTTCTGTGCCATCCTCACAGTCACTACTGTTTTTGAAACCATTGTTCCAGCCCTGTGCCAGTGTGCCTTGTTGACAGTCTTTCTCTTTTTCTGCTGATCCTCTACTTTTTCAGGCATGATGTCCTCCTCCCTTAGTGGTTGACTCTCCTGATGTCCAAAGTATATAAGATGAAGTTTTGCTCTCTTCTAATCTAAGAAACATTCTGGTTTCCCTTCTTCCAAAACAGATTTGTTGGTTTTTCTGACAATTCTGGGTATATTCTTCACAAATACCATAATTCAGAGGTATCTGTTATTTCATAAGCTTCTTATTCAGTGTCTAGCTTTCATAGTTGCCCGATGCACTACATTATTTGATCCTGATTGCTGCTTCTATAGGCATTAACTGTGGGTCCAAGTAAATTAAATCCTTCACAAGTTCAGTCTTTCCTCCATTTCGCTTTATGTTGCTTATTAGTCTAGTGTTGTTGTTGTTAAGTGCCATTGAGTTGCAGGCTACTTATAGCGACTCTATGAAGGAGAGTCCTCAACGCTTGGGTGTCTCTCATCCTCTCTCCAGGTTCATAGGGTTTCCGGAGGCAAGCTATTATGGAAGTGGATGCCACTCCTCCTTCCAAGCTTGTTTTAATCTGGGAGCTCCACCCCACTCTCTGTCCACATTGAGTAATCAGCCATTAATGCATTTGACACATCGTTGTCAAAATTAGTCCAACAGAGACAATTTTGTTTTATGTTAAAGTAAAATCAATACGAAGGCTTCAGGCTTTCTTCATTTTTGTATTTAAATTATTTCAGTGCTCATTTCTAGTCCTTTTGAGCACTTCTTCATACAAGAATGATTGTTATAGTATATCTCCAAATTACTTGTCATTGTGTTGGTAGTTGGCTAGCTCCAAATAACTTGTTTTGTCATTACTGTCATGGCTGTAATTTAACTTTCACATTTATATCTATATGGAATTGAGTTTGGTGTGTGGTCAGAGGTCAAGGTAGATAAACACATCTAAATGACTCTGCTTATTGAACATTTTCTTATTGAACATAATATAATAGAAGCCAACCGTACACAAGGTTTTTCTAAGACCAAATAAGACAAAAACAAAGCCACTTCATAATTTTCATCTAAGCTTGTTGTAAGGTGCTGACAAGTTGATTTTGACTCGTAGCAACTTTTTTTCATAACAGATCTCAACCTTGCCCTCTGCTCCACATTCTTCATGCTCTCTGACATGCTCCAGCCCATTGTTATAGTCACTCTCAGTGCATCTTTTTGAGGGTCTTTCTCTTTCTGTGACCTTTTTCAGCATAGTATCTTTTCCCGAAGGACTGGTTCCGCCTAACAGCATGCCCAGTGTGAGATGATGTTTTACCATCTTTGCCTCTATGAAATACCCTATGTGAACTTTCTCCAAGACAAGGACATCATTCTTGTTCTTCAGCACTTTGGAGAGGACTTGGGTAGCAGATTCTTCCAAAGCAATACACATCTTTTGATTTCTTAACTATTATTACCTTGAATGGTGATTATGGATCCAGCTAAATGAAATTGACAGCTTTAATGTTTTCTCTGTTGGTCATGATGTTGCCTTTTCGTCCTGTGGTGTGAATTTTTGTCTTTTCACATTTAGATGTAATCTATATTGAAGACTAGTTTTTTTTTTATCTTCTGCAGCACATATCTTAAATCCTCTATTTTCTGTAAGCAAGGTTGTGTAATACGTAAAATTGTTCTCCCTTTCTGAGAGCACCCTCTGCTGTGAGTCCTTGCTTCCTTAACTCTCCCTCACTTAACCCAAACAAACTCAAATTGAATAAGTTACTTTCTTAGCACTCATACTGAGACATTTTCCCAACCATGATTTCCTAAGTTACATGTTCCTCCTTGCTACAATTAGTAGCAAATTCCATTTGTTCAACTATAGTTGAAGGATAGTCAATTGACTTAAAAGTTTTCCTTTTTTATGTATATTGCTGCAAAGTTTTTTGGCATCTCATTTTGTTAAAGGGGGTAGTCCCAGGCTTGAATGTTTGGTTTCCCTTTGTAGGGAGAATTTTTTGTTTCATATTTTTTCCCCTATTGCTTTTTAAAATTATTTCTTTGACCTTGAAAATTCAAAGAAAATTTCTGGATGTTCATATTACATTAATTTTGCCTGGTACTTGGTAATACTGTCCCTATGTCCCCTATTCCATTTTCAGATTCAGGTCTTTCTGTAATTTAGCAAAATTTTCTCCATTACAGCTTCAGTTTGTTAACAGAATTGAAAAAGAAATAGCACCACATTAGTTGTGGGAGACTTTAATACAATACTCTCATCAAAGGATAGGTCAACTCAAAAGAAACTTAACTTTTCTGGGAATATGTAAGAGCTAAATACTGTTGTTGTTATTGTTATTAGGTACCAAGGAGTCAAAATTAACTCGCGCTGACCGTATAAACACGAGATCTGAACCCTGCCCTATCCTTTGTCATCTTTATCTTCTCCAGCACATGTGAGCTCATTCCTGTGTGCTCGTCCATCTGGGTGATGATCTTCCCCTCTTTTGCTGACCATCCATCTTTCCAAGCATGATGTCCCCCTCCAAAGCATAGCTTCTCCTAGCAATATGCCCAAAGTATGTGACATGAAGCTTTATCACCTTTGCCTCCAAGTAGCACTCTCACCATACCTTCTCCAAGACCTATCTGTTCTTTTCTGCACTCCATGGGATATTCAGAAAGTACTCTTTTCCTCCATCACAGCTCCACGGCATCATTTCTTTTTTTGTCATCCTTCTTCATTGTCCAGCTCTCAGATGAATAGCAAGTGATTGGAAAGACCATAGCTTGAATCAGGGTACCTTAGTCTTCAAACTAGTATCATTCGGCCACCATATTGGAAATGTATGTGTCTGTTTATTTGTTTCTTAAGTTTTAGTATTTCATACACTTCCGAATTTTCTTGTATCCAATTAACCATTTTGAGGCCTGACTTCCAAAGGTTCAGCTCTTGTATCTCTTGTCTTTTTCTATTTATACTTTCTTGTTATTGATACCGTAGATGCTTATTCATCATCTTCGTGTTCCTAACTTCCAAACTTTTACATATAAAACTCAAGATTTACATGTCCCACTGACAAAGGAGATTAATCAGAACTGGCTTTGACAAGCACTGTGGCAATTGGACTATTAAAACAGACATTCGGGGTAGGGGGGGAAGAAGAACGAACTGGGGAGGAGGGTAGAGAAAACAGTGCAACAGTGAAGGAATGAAAACCCAAAATCTCTGTAAATGTTCATTAAAACTAATAAAATTTAATAATAAAAAAAAAGATTTACATGTCCAATTGTCTATGTTGTGTTTTTGCTTTGCTGCCTTACTACACTCTTAAATTCAATATATCCAAAGCCAAAGTTACTGCTTTTCTTTTCCAATAATTTCTCTGTAATAAACTTAGCATATGACTCAAAAAAAGAAAGAAACTTAACAAAGATGCAGAAGACCTAAATTACACATTCAGCCAACTCGACCTTGCGCATGTAATCCGAGTATTGCACTCAACTAAAACTCAATTCACTTTCTTCTCAAGATTGGCACATGGCACATTTTCCAGAATTGATTACATATGAGGGCACAAATCAAGCCTCAAAAAAATACATCTTCAATTTGGTCCTGTTTTGATAACTTTCAAAAATATCAGATAAAAATAGTTTAAGCTCTGGTGTCTCTGTTCTTCAAATATACCTTTACTTGACCCTTTGAGTATTTTAGAAACGTTTCAGCTTTGTTTTTCATACTATTCATTTGTATAGTGTAAACTCATTTCTCTTTTTTTCTTTTTCTTATAACTTTAATAACATTAATTTTTTCCTTTTTTTTATATTTATAATTTTTTTTTAACAGAGGTTTTGGATTTCCATTCATTCATTGCTGCAATTTTCTCCCTGCCCACCCCTCCCCACCAGCTTGCTTCCCCCTCCGGAGAGAGAAGAAAAGAAAAAAAAATTCCTTCATTAGTATACAATTCCCATGTTCCTTCCCTCCACCCCAAGTACACTTCTCTATGCAACCTTAATTCTGGATTCCTTTGCTAACCATAATACTCAATCATATATCACTTCTAATCTGTTCTTTCCCTCATCTGTTTCAATACAATATACATAATTATCCAGTTTTTTCTGTCATACCCCCACCCTGATGTCAGACCCATTCTACAACAGTGGCACCATGCAATATTTGTCCCTTTGTGACTGAGATATTTCACTCAGCATAATGTCCTCCAGGGTCACCCACTTTGAATAATATTGTGTGAGTTCCTTGTTTTTCAATGCTGCATAGTATTCCATTGTGTGGATATACCACAGCTTCTCTATCCATTTGTTTGTTGATGGGCCCTTAGGCTGCTTCCAACTCTTTGCTATTGTAAACAAAGCTGCTATAAACATGGGTGTGCATATATCTGCTTGGATGGCAGACATGGTCTCTCTGGGGTATATTCCCAGTAATGGTACTGCTGGGTCAAATGGTATCTCTGTTTGCAATTTTTTGAGAAAGCGCCACACCGCCTTCCACAATGGTTGCACCATCTTACATTCCCACCAACAGTGAATAAGAGTTCCAGTTTCTCTACATCCTCGCCAGCATTTGTTGCTTGCTGTTCTGTTATATTTTGCTATTCTTACTGGGGTGAGATGGTATCTCATAGTTGTTTTGATCATTTCTCTCTTTTTTATGATTTACGTTCTCCTTGCTTTTCTTTTCTTGAAGAAAATTACTATAAAGTTGCTTATTTTCATTCTTTCTTTAATGGTGCATAATCTTGTCAATAGTTGCAGTCTATGATTTTGTCCAGTTTACTAAAAAGGGGTTTTTTTTTTTGTTGTTGTTGTTTTTTAATATCTAGAAATGTTCTATGGAATAATTAAATTTCATTTTAACAGATGTTGACTGGTTTTTTTAAAAAAGGATGAGGACCATTTTGGTAGATCAAGTAGTAACAATTTTTTTTTGTTAAAAAACTTCTTTGCTGTCCATTTCTGAGGCTGTAAATCACATGTGAGGACATTGCTCACCTTTCTCCCTCAGAGCTGGAGGTGAATTTGAACTACCAGAGAGGCTGAGCTTTTGGATTAGCAGTGCCAACTCCTATGGATGAAGCAGCTGAGTTTCCAGTCCTTTGTTTGTGGTGGTGTTCACTGCCATCAGTTGGAAGTGACTCATAGCTGACCCTCAGTCGATTTTCAGAATCTGTACATCAAAAGGAGATAACCTATTTTTATCTCGGGGAGCAGCTAGTATATTCAAAACACCTATCTTTGGGTTGGCAGCAGAGTTTGCTACCCAGTAGGCCACCTGAGATGTCTATTTCATGTATCATTTTTTAAAAATATAATTTAACTAGTTAATTGTTTGAGTTAGTAGAGTGTTCATCTTTATTCCTGTTACTGCCTTCCCAGGTAAAGAGCACATTTAAAGATTGATTTTCTTTTTTAAATTATTTGTGTGTGTGTGTGTGTGTACCGTCAAATTGGATCTGACTGGTACAAGAGTAAATTGTCCCCCTTTCTCCAGTAGAGCATCTGGTGGATTCGAACTGTGCACCTCTGGGATTGCAGGGCAGTTTCTTGCCACTAGGCTACCAGAGTTCGCCAATATTTTTATTTTTAAATAATGGCCAGAGGGACAATCTCTGGTATTTTCCAAGCCTTGAATTCCTAGAGTGTTCTGTTATTGATTCTCCTATGCTCTGTACATTTGCTGGTGTGGTGACAATCGTAAGGATTGTGTTTGTTTTTTTGTCAGCATCAACCTTATTGCCTGGCACTAAGGAGAAAGTATATACAAGTATTCCCATTTTTCGAAAGTTTCTTTAATCCCACACCGCTTTTACCAAAGACCTTTGTTAGTATCTGTTTAGAAAAGAAGTCCCAAGAAGGTTTTTGTTCTCATGAAAGGACAAAAGAAAAGGGGAGGGGGGGAGTGTGAAAAGTAAAGCTAGAATTCAGGCCTTGTTTGTAGCAAGTTATTAAAAAAAGAGCCTTCAGTGCTTTTGTAAGCGGGAGAGTGGCATTTCCAGGTGGCTTGCCTGGGACCTACATTTAACATCTCAGCACCAAGCCATCATAGTTTTTAAGTATGTCTGTGAACACTGTATGCTGTATTTTAGGGTGTTTTTAGATTGATGTGCTATTTTGTAGCTTATTTTTTTAAGGGTTAGAAATGCCCCCAAATTTTCCCCATATCAGTTTTAATGGTAATTAATTCTTCACTTTATGTCGTTTCAACTTAGGAAAGAAATAGTCCATTTTCAGTTACTAGCAAAACTAGTATTTTAATAAGTCCAGCAAAGAATGAGTGAATGCTAGAAAAAGAGAGATGGCTGTTACTTTGTGAAATCGCCTGTTAAGTTAATTAATTTATATTATGTAATTTCCTTTTCTTAAGGCTACTGATGCCCGGAGAGCTTTTCCTTGTTGGGATGAGCCTGCCATCAAAGCAACTTTTGATATTTCATTAGTTGTCCCTAAAGACAGAGTTGCTTTATCAAATATGGTATGTATGTGTTTGTAAGTATATTTAAATTTTTAATATGCTTTTAGCAATTTTGTTTGCTGGTTAGGTAGAATAACATGAAACCACCCAGAACCATCCTTGTTATGTTATCATAACACAAAAGTCAAGATTTCTTTATTCCAAATAGGCCTTATTTTTCTTAATTGCTTTATGTAGTAGGATTGTCTTTTAATTTGGAGATCTAGGTAAGTGACAAATTTAAAGAATTATTACCTAGAAGAAAAAAAAATACAACTTCCTTACTAATTGGAAAGATATGAGTACTTAATGAAATGTATTTAGATTGTATTGGCTGATTATATTCTTGGCATATGCTCTCTTTACCCATATCACTTATCTCATTCATAAATAGCGAAAACATTCATCACTTACAGTTTATTGTCTGTGACACCTTCTTTAAGATAGAAAATAGCCAATAGATTATAGTAATATGTCTACAGGAAACTAGAAGAAGCCTGCTGTGCCACAAAATAACTGTTTCTTGTCCTCCTTGATGGAGGAAATTCCACAGGTAGAACTGTTTTTTGTTTTTTTCTCAGATATTCTCAGAAAAGAGACAGATGCATTAAACTTGAATATTCCTTTATAATTAAGAGGAAATTAATTTATTAGGTCTGTTCTTGAGCAAGTCGTCTTGGAGAAAAGAATTAGGTTAAAGTGTAAAGGAACTTAAGAACCTGAATAGGGGAAAGAAAGAGAACGTCAAAGAGAAATTAAGAGTTTTAAAGGTAAAATATAGACAGTTTCTCAGTGGTGCAAGTAGTTAACATGCTTAGCTTTTAATGGAAAGAGTGTGGTTTAGAACCTACTCCAAAGTGTGTTGGAAGAAAGACCTGGTGATCTGCTTCCCCAAATTCAGCCATTGAAAACTTTCTGGTACCCTGTTCTATTTTGACACATGTGGGATTACCATGAATCAGTGGCCTTGAAAACAACTTGAAAACAACTACACTTTTTTGGGGGGGTAAATTAGAGATTTCTTCTTAGGTTTTCTTGGAGTCTACTTTGATACAGAGAATACATAGAGAAATCTGTTCTCTTTAAAGTATCAGATTTCACAAATATGTTTATATTAGTAATTCTCTCCTGACCTTATTTCACTTCAAAATAAATGTGCGGGTCTTATTTTAAACACACTAGTATTCTTTGATTTTGTTGTTTGTTGTTATGCACTGTCTAGTCAGAGCCCAACCCATAGTTGACCTTCCAGTGGGTCTTTAGAAGCAGTAATCACACAAATTGCCCATCTTTCTCCCATGGAGTAGCTGATTGGTTCAAACCATATACCTTTGTGTTGGGAGCACAATTCCTTACCACTAAGTCACCAGAGCTCCTTTTTAATTTTTGATAGGTATCTGGAAAAGTTGATTCCTTTTTCAGTCAGTTTCTGACACATTTAACACTTCAATCCTTATAATGTGAGTGATCACTTTCTTTCCTGAAAAGAACATCTTGCTTTTACTCTCCATTTCTACTGACAGCATACTGTGAGGTCTGGTTTCAGCTTTGTCTTTCCAGGGGTCCTTTACCCCTCTTCCATCTTCTTTCCTTTTCCCTTTCACTTTTTGCACAGTCTTTCAGTAGCTTTGCCTCTGTCTTAATACCTTAATAAACCTTTTCACTTGTTTTTCTAAAAAGAAAAGAAACATCTTGACAGTTTAAGCGCCATATAAATAAGGTTAAAAATGAGCAGGTTCAAGCAGAGAGGCAGTAAAGCCTACAGATTTTCTTAATATACTTAATATAATAATTTTTTTTCTTTTTAAGAATGTAATTGATCGAAAACCATACCCTGATGATGAAAATTTAGTGGAAGTGAAGTTTGCCAGAACACCTGTTATGTCTACATATCTGGTGGCGTTTGTTGTTGGTGAATATGACTTTGTAGAAACAAGGTCAAAAGATGGTGTTTGTGTCCGTGTTTACACCCCTGTTGGCAAAGCAGAGCAAGGAAAATTTGCGTTAGAGGTAAATGTACTTGAAGAGGATTGTTCCAACAGTCCATAACTCCAGGTTGGGGAATTTACATTTCTGATCAATTATTAGTACAGTTGTTTATAATTTAGTCTATAATTTGTTGTGACACTTTGGTTTTATTTTTTATGTAATTTTAGAATACTAACCTTGGTGTTACAGTAACATTTTAAAGAAAATTACTAAAAGAATAGGAATGGAATTTATCCAGGGAATGGGTGGGAAAAGATGTAATGATATTCTTGACACCAAGTTAGAAATGGAATAAAATGGGACCGATATTTACAAAGCCTGGGCAAAGACAGTGTTTGGAGGGTTAGTTTCTAGTAACTTGAGATATTTTAGACTGCAACAGGATTCCTTTGCGGATTTCTACATGAATTAACAATAAAATATTTATCAAGTAGTACTTTTGTTTATACTTTTATAGGTTGCTGCTAAAACCCTGCCTTTTTATAAGGATTACTTCAATGTTCCTTATCCTCTACCTAAAATTGATCTCATTGCTATTGCAGACTTTGCAGCTGGTAAAGTAAATTTCATTTTATTGTTGAATTGTAGTAGCTTAAATTTTGTGATTTTGAGGAGTAAGTATATCAATAAATGTTTGTGTTTATTTTATAAAGGTGCCATGGAGAACTGGGGCCTTGTTACCTATAGGTATGTTAATATTGTGTTTCCCTGCCTTATCTTTTTAAGCACTGATTTTTATAAAGGGCTTCGCTCCTAATCATGATTGAGTAGCTTCGGCTTTATGATCTGTTGTAAATTTTCTTTTTTGTGCACACTTCAGAAATGCGTATGGACACCCTCTGGTGCTACTGCTATCTGAGGGTGTAAGATTTTAAAATGAGCATCTGGCATCCCTGGCATTTTTAGATGTATTCTTAACTGAGTTTCTAATTTCAGTACCTCCTCTTCCTTCCAGTAGTTTTGTAGCTGTTTCTCCAACTTGAAGAACCCTCCCTAATTTCACTTAACCAGAGAAGTTTTACATGTCTGTCACCACAATATAAACATTTGTGTGGGTTATGTAATTTTGGGGGGGGGTGTTATGTAATTTTTAAAGCAGAGTCCGTAAACAAGATTTTGTGTTCTTCTTTGATTTGCCTTCTTAGGACTAAGTTTTGAACAACCTGCTCAGTGTCCTTTTTGTGACTATGAAGTATATTCTTCCTCTCCTTTTAATGGAAGAATTCTTTCTTCTTTGGCATAATAATCTCTAATTCCTAAGACAGAGTTCTTCTGAAAATGCAAGCTTACCTATCAACAAACTGATAGTTAAGCTTGTGTCATCTTTAACTTTTATTGTATGAATTTTATTGTGATGATATTTAATCTTCCTGAAACTTTTTCTAAGTTGCTCTGAGGAAATATTTTAATGATATCTCCAAAGCCTACCTTGACTATCTCATTTACTGTTTGAATCTCCCCAATTTGTGCATGCCAGTTTTTATTGTAATACTTTTATTGTTTTATTTTGGTTTTTGTTTTTTAAACACAGAGAGACTGCATTGCTAATTGATCCCAAAAATTCCTGTTCTTCATCACGCCAGTGGGTTGCTCTGGTTGTGGGACATGAACTCGCCCATCAATGGTTTGGAAATCTTGTTACTATGGTATTTAATATTTTTAAGTGCTCAAATATATTTATCTTCATCCTGCAGCACATTAATTTGGCTATTAATATCCAGGTTTGGCTGGAACATTGTGCTAAAAAAACAGTTGAGTAAAGAAAAAATTATTTTTAAAGATCTCCCTTAAAAAGTGTTTATTAGAATCTCTGTGTTCATCATGAGTATATTATACACAGCCTTCATTCCTTAGAAAATACTTCTTAAACAGGCATAGGATTTGCCTACAAATGGCGGGGGGGAGGGTGAAGTCAAGATACCAATTTGAAAGAAACTAAAGAGATTTTCTTAGAGATGAGTTACTTATGCAGTGAAATTCTAATTTAACTGTATTTTTAAAGTCATATTTATTACATAGTTCACTAGCTTAAAAGTAAAAAATACTATGGTCTTTTACAAGCTGAAAATGTACTTAGGGATTAGTTTTTTCATTGCTGAAGTGTTAGATCGAAATTGAAGAGAAATAAAAGCAAAGCAAATGGCAGAGTACCTCTCAAGTGAATTAAAGAAATCTAACTAGATCATTAAAATTTTGTTTATTAAAATGTTTCCTGTGAATTATCTGTGTCCATCAGTTGTGACTTTTTACTTTTATCCTAAATAAGTTTCATCTGTAGAAGCCAGCAGTGTTTGAGTTTGAGAGCACAGGCTGAACACATTGCCGCAAATGATGGCAAGTGTGTTTCTAAGCACGGTCATCAATTTAAAAGTGTGCAGCAACGTGTTAGTAAGCAAAAGAACTGACGATTTTGCTGTCAGCTCATAGCATTTAGGCTGCTGTAGACTAGAACCTATCTTGGAAATTACTTTAATCCATATGTTACATAAATTAAGAAGAAAGTAAATACATTTAACCATGTCTGAGAAAGTTTCCAAAGAAAGTCAACCCCCTTTCCTTGCTCATTATACAGCAAGCTTTCTACTTCCTATCAAACAGAATATTTTCACTCAGATTTTAAAACACTTTTAAATTTTATAATCTTATTTTGAAACCAAATTTATCTTTAAATAGAGGAAATATGTTATCTCGTACTACTTTTAAAGAGCTTATATTAGATTTTGGCAGCTATTCTAGTTATTAAAGATCTTTAGTGGTTTCACATTTAAGTGCTTCGTTGATACTCAGTGACTACAGGAAAAGGCAACTGTAAAGATTACAGCTTCAGAAAGCCTTTCAAACAGTCTTACTCTGTCAGATATGTCCTGGAAATTACCTGAATTGCACCCAGTAATAACATTCTAGCTATTATATGTTGATGATTTCATAAACTGAAATTCTGAAGGTTGGGTTTAACTGCACCGGCTTATCTTTTGTGAGGCAACTCTTCTTCTCTTTGTGAGGTGACTCGTTAAATAGCATAAAGCATTTAAAAAGCCACATATCACTTAATGGAGAAAATATTTAATCTTTTCAAATTTTAAACAGGCCCTTTGTTTTCTTCATCACATTAGTCCTTTGGCACCTGTCTTGCATTCATACATTGCTTTCTTTACATTGGTTTTTCTGTGACTCCGTATAATTCTTTATCTGTTTCACTCCTATAAGTTCTTAAGTTAGAATTGTAGTATTCTGTAAATATTTAAATACCATTCATAGCTGAACTACTTATCCCCAAGACATTTGTTATTTTCACATAATCCTTGTATCAGCAGTACAGTTTTTCTTTTTTTGTCTAAAAAGTCTAACCTGTCAATCAAAAATTAATTTTCTCAGTCATGGAAATAGTTTTCACTTCACATTGGGTAACCTTGTTTTCTTTAAAGGAAATATTTTACTAAACTAAATTTTTATAATTTTTTTTGAATTCTTAAATATATCTGTGTTCTCGTTTCCCACATGACAGATTTATTTTTTAGTGTCTCATTTCCCCTCCAACACACACATTTTCTGTTTTTGGTAGTAAAAAGTGGTAGATATTTAACAATGTTTTAATAATGTCCCTCAGGCATAATATTACTAATTGGCCTTTCCTGGTATCTCTTGATAGGCTTCTCTTTGTTAAAAGATTTACTAAGTGTTTTTAATTATAATTCATTAGGTTGTTAGATTTGGAGTAGAAAGGACATTGAGTTTTCAAACTAGTGGAATTGAAAAACATTTCAGGATTTTTATGCATCTTCATCTTTTCTGTTTAGGAATGGTGGACTCACCTTTGGTTAAATGAAGGCTTCGCTTCCTGGATTGAGTATCTGTGTGTAGACCACTGCTTCCCAGAATATGATATCTGGACTCAGTTTGTTTCTGCTGATTATACCCGGGCCCAGGAGCTTGACGCCTTAGATAACAGTCATCCAATTGAAGTGAGCCACATTTTCTCCCTGTTGGTCTTTGTTTTGACTGCTCCCATTTTTAGTGACATAAGTGCTTTGTGAGAGGGATACTTAAGACTCTGAAAAGAAGAAAGAATTGCATGGCTTGTTTCACTTTACTTGCTTTTGTAGTTCTGTGGTCTCAGTCTTGAATAGCTAGGCATAATAGGTTCTAAATAATCTTTCTTTTTAATATTGGCATTAGAAAAATTTAGTCTTTGTACAGGCAAGCATATTGTACTTTTACATATTCACCAAAATAACTTTTTATTAAGCAATATGGGAGAATGAGTGGAGAAAATCAGGTATTTTTATCTCTCTCTTTCTGTCCTGAGAATAAACAGATCTGTAATGCAGAGGTGAGCCAGGACCAGAACCAAGGCTTTGGGAGACCATTTTTTGTGTGTAATAACCATGCAGTATAATGAATAATGGTGCATTATGTCTGAGCAAAAGGCAGTAAAAGTTTCTTATGAGTTAGAAGGGTTTTCCTAGAAAGCTTTTTATGTAATTCAGTGTTACAGGCTATCTGCTTCCTGTCATAATCCTTCATCACAATGTCTGCCAGGTCAGTGTGGGCCATCCTTCTGAGGTTGATGAGATATTTGATGCCATATCCTATAGCAAAGGTGCATCTGTCATCCGAATGCTGCATGACTACATTGGGGATAAGGTAAGAAAGCCTTTTTTTTTTTTTTAATAGTCCATTCTTTTATGGTGAAATAGTAGAGTTTTGCAAACTATTTTATTTATTTGGAATAAGTTCCTAGATATTTTTCTGTACTATAAATGGACATACCATATTCTGGTTTACCTTCCTTTCTCTTTATGTTGACTATACTGATTTTTAGCTGAGTGATGTGCAAGTGTATTTGGAGATAGGGAAGAAGAGACATTTAAAAGCAAGGGTAGAAGGCACAGATGCTTTCTTTGTAGTTTTTCTTCAATGTTGTATTCTGAAAAGGCAGTAGGCATTAAATGGAAATAAGTGTTTTATGTACATGTAACACTCAAGAAATTTGCTTTTGAATACTAATATGCAAGTGTGTACTAAAAATGATGAGATCTGACTCTTGGATTTTTAAAAATTGTGTTTTTTTTTCAGGACTTTAAGAAAGGAATGAACATGTACCTAACAAAATTCCAACAGAAAAATGCTGCAACAGGTAATCTTTAATAATTTCATGTACCAATGAAGAGGATAAAAGTACCCAACCCAAGAAGGGACTTTGTCTTTTTGCTCTAAATGTTTAACTTTCCATGTGATGAACATAAAATAAAATTGTGTTATTTGAAACCATCTAGTTAAGTCATCATAAATAAGGAGCTCTCCTTTTGAGCTCTGGTTGCCTAGTGGAAAGAAGCTGCACTGCAATCCCAAAGGCACGTGACGTGGTTCCTTACTTTCCTGATTTCACCCCTGAAATTCTATGTTTGCCTACTTACTTATTGCCAAGAAGTCTTTTTTCCCCTTCAGTTTTGCCTCTCACACTGAGGTGAATTGTTTTTCTGTAAGTGCGTGTCTAAATGTATCATCCTAGTGATTGAATATATTTGATATATCCCATAACTTTCAAGGGAAAGTCTGTGCTACTTCTTGGCAAGACTTTGGAGGTCTTAATACTTTACTATTTTTACATGCACTATTTCCTTCTACCTGGATGCTTTTCTATTTTTTTCTCTCTGATGAACTGTTTATCATTAAAATACAGATCAGAAGTCACCTTTTATGAAGCTTTTATATTAAGAACTTTTCCTTTGTGTATGCCACCATTCTCACATTTCTTATATATATTATATACATTTATTTTTACATTTCATTATATTTATCACATATTATATTCCTGCTTTCTTTTCCTTACCACTAATGATATTTGACTATGTCAGTATTACTTCAGTCTAATTAGTGTTAAATATTTGAAACTTTTGTTGATTGAATTGTTATAATAGGCTTATGTGTGTGAATTATATATTAATAGCAATGTTGAACAGGTTTCAATTTTGCTTACTTGTCTTCTTGATTGAAGTCATCTGTTTGTCTTGTTTCTTAAAATTTTTCACATAAATTGGCACAGTTAGTAACATTTTAACATGTGAGTTTTTATAGAAAAGTTTACTTAATGGTGCAGTGGGAGTATTTTGCCCCCTGTTGTTTCCTAAATCTGAAGGAACCAAATAATTGGTCAACAGTGGTGATGCTGCAATATTAAGAGTTAAGTAGCATTTCTGTTTTGTTTAGGAAATGAAATTGTAAACACTTTAAATTTTCATTGTATTTATTTTCTAGAGGATCTCTGGGAAAGTTTAGAAAATGCCAGTGGTAAACCCATAGCTGCTGTGATGAATACCTGGACCAAACAAATGGGATTTCCCCTCATTTATGTGGAATCAGAGCAGGTATACTTATAAAAATTCTTCCATTTGTTTGATACTATGTTATGTGGAATTCAATACATTTTAATTAAATTTACTTATCTGTATTTTATATAGTCAAAGTGACATTTAAATCAAGCCTTGTCTGAGTTTTTTTGTCATTGAGAAGCTACACAGTAAAACACAAACCAACACATTACTATTTCATGACATTTGATTATGTTATTTAACTTGTGCTACCATTCTCACCATCATTTTCTGAGTCATTTCTCCCCTGGTCTCTTAACAAGAATTCATGCTGTCTAATCTTTTGAGGTGATGTTGTCACTTTGATCCCATGTATGAAGTTAACCTAGAGTATTGTATGGTTTTAAGAAGATTTCAAAGGATATTTTTGTAAACCAACTCTGTTCTCAGTGACTTGCTGTCTCTAAGTTATTTTCCCTGAACATCGTTAAAATTATACATGCCTAATAGGATACAGTGTATGTGACTCTTATATGCAAACAAATATAAAATTAAAAAAAAACTAAAAAGGGAAGAAATGAGTTTCTTGAGCTGCATATAGAATTAATTGCCATCCAGTTTTAGAAAGGAGGATTCATCAATCTTTGCTGTGTTTGATTGTTCTTATGGTCCTACATTGTTTGTGAAACAGTATGTTTTTCGTAGTTTTTTGATGTAACAATCACTAAGTTAACAAATGACAATTACAAAGTTAACAAAACTTCCAAAATGGACTCAGATCTATACTGGACATTTTAATGCAGACCTTTGTAAGTTATTCTTTCATAGCCAAGCCTTGACAATAAACATAGGACTTTTTATTAATGAAGTATACACATTAGGGAAATTGCTTAGTTAAGTTTTCTAAGAATTTGAAAAGACAATTTAAGGAATACAGTTGATCATATCTAGTGGGAAGCTGGGGTGTCGAAGAGGATTGAATATACCGTGGACTGCTAGGAAAACAAACAGGTTTGTTCCAGAGAGAGTGAAGTCGGGCTGCTTCTTGGAGGAAAGGATTCTGAAGCTTTGTCTGACATACATTGGACATGTTGCAATGTCCTTGGAGAGGGACATCATGCTCGGGAGGGTGGAGGGACAACGCAGGAGAGGAAGACCCTCGATGAGATGGATTGATTTAGTGACTGGGATAATGGGGGTAGTTGTGTCGGAGATTGTGAGATTGGCACAGGATAGAACAGAGTTTAGGGCTGTTGTACATAGGGTCGCCTCGACGGCACATAACAACAGTGGAAAAGAATACCTATAAACTTAGTGGCATACCACTGTCAAAATTTGTTTCTTTCTAATCTTTCTCTGTTTTGAACTAATCTATCATAGGTAATGGCTGGTAAAACTTGATGTCAAGGCTCCTTATAAATAAGTAATCTCTTCATTTGTCCTTTTTAAAAAAATTAATTTAATGAACGTTTACAGACACTTAGGGTTTCCACTCATTCATTGTTGCACTTTTCTCCCTGCCTACCGCCTCCTCCCCAATTTGTTCTTTTTTTTGAAAAGTTAAAAGAAAAATTCTTTTTTT